TGAGTGCCCCGCTCAATAGTCGTCAATGTAGGCACGAAACGTTGACCAGTCGGTATGCCATTCCGTGTCGATCGGTGGGCAGACCCATGCGCTGCCAGACGGAACTTGCACTTCCCGCTGACTATCGCTCATGTGATGAATACCTGCTATTCACAATACAATGAACATCAATTGCATACCCCACCTCAAGAACCTCCTCCAAATACGCAGTCGTACCTCGCTACCGATGCCAAATTCAAAATGAAAGGCTCAGGGCGAACGGGGACGGCTGAAAAGGGGGAGAGGGGGGGGAGGGGGTGTCACATTTCAGAAATCGAAATTTCACGTTTAGCCATGCGGGTATTTTATCTGCGTAAATTACGGCGTTTGCACTGAAGTGTTCCGATAAAGTACGATTCTAGTCGGTGCCTCAAAACAGTACCTAAAAAAAATAGTTAACTACCCACCAAAACAAATTGGACTTACTTAAGTAGCGTCTAAGAGAGGTTTCGCATCGCAATTCCATTCCCATTCAGACGGCAAAATACATAGAAGAGGTCTTGCCAGCGTTGGTTAGGGTCGTCTGCAATGGAATGGCGTCTGAAAGTCACAGGAATCCCGAATTCAGAGGACTGGGAACGCCTCTCACATTCAATAGTTTTCACTGGCTGTGATGCGGGTCGACGAAGAAATTTTGCTTCGGCATATGATTAAGAAGACGTCATCCAAGAGGAAGAAGCTGCCGTATCTCGTGCTGCTCCACGACGGAGCGATAGAGCGTCCTCTCATCCCCAACATAGTATTCTCCCTTGTAAGCTTCACCGACGCTAACTGTGAGCTAGAGTTCTGCTTTGACATCGGTGGGCTGCAGCGCCTTTGCGTTCTGCTCCAAGTGCCTGTTGTGGTCATCACCGCGCACAGGGACCGGGTTATGGCTATAGAAGCTCTCTGCATCATGCTACGACGGCTCGCGTATCCTCAACGCTTAGACCCTGCAGCGGCTTCATTAGCCACGCCGCGTCCTTCTGCTTGCCTTGCACCATTCTTGTCTTCATTTACGCGGAATGTAAAATGCTGAGGCAGAACTAAAGCACCGGCCTGGGAGAGGTGACGTCTGCGATTTAAGGGTGAGGCCACAAGCTCTCTTGAGCGCACTTCAGCACATGGCAATGTCTCTATTGGCGACAAACAGAAAGGTTAGTGGACAAGCGAGTCAGTGTCAAGCGGTAGGTTTCTAGTGTCTAGTAACACAAATTCACC